ATCACAATACATCTATACGATATGCATGTATATATGTGTGTGTGTATATATATATATATATATATATATATGTGAGTGTGTGTGAACAACCTGATTCGGGTTATCAACCTGCCCTTTGTAGACCCTCCCAAAACCCCCTTCACCAAGCTGATTCTCAGGGTTGAAGTTGTTAGTAGCAGTGCATAGGTCACGGTAATCAAAAGTCTTTGCATTCGCACTGTTTTTACCCCTTTTCACGATTTCCTCGGAAATGTATCTCTTTCGGCTTCCATCTTCCATGAAAGAGGAAACTTTTGTTCAAAACATCAATCAATCAACCACCTTTAAGCTCTAGTTTTCAACTACTTTAATCATCGGTGCGAGTATCAAACACGAATACGTATTCAACATGAGCATTCAAGACTTATATTTCCATATCAATGAAAGCAAATGTATCGAATCCGTGGTTACATAGACAAAGGCAAACGTGGCTCGGCAATTGCAAACAAATAAAAATCTATTCCAAAGACCCATTTAATCAAACAGATTGATTCCATGAATATAAGAACATGTTCCTTCCATTACATGAGAAAAACTGAAGAGAAATTAGAGGAAATTGTACCACTTTTGAATGAAATATTGGCAAACGAAAGCATAGCTGTTATCGTTCTAGGCTCATCGGAGAAGTCGTTCTCGGAATTTGTCCTCCTGCTGCTTATTTTCTCTTCCGACATACAACAGGAAAAGCAGTTCATTGTTCGGTCTTCTTCTCCTTCTCCTTCTTCGTCGGGATATAAAATCAACGGACAAAATTTCTGGGAAACCCAAAATTATAAATTGTTGAACAACAAAAATAATTTCCTTTGATCAAAATTTATAAAATGATCTTAGTATAAAGAAAACCCACAGCTGAGCTGTGAATTTTCTTAATATTCTCTTGCCCATGGAGAGATGAAACAGAGTTGTTTCGTCATCGTGCTTGTTTTGGCCTCTGTTGTTTCCAGATCCCATTGGCCCCATATTGCCAACAATATTATTGGGTTTTGTTAAATATAGAATACGAGAGACAGTTTTAATTATCAGAGAACATCAAGGTGGTTTTCTATTATTATCAGGCTTTCCTATTATAACCTCATCTGATTTTCTTCTTTTATCTTTTGTTTTTTTGTACTGTGTTCCAGTTCGATAGAATTTCAATGTCCTGTCCTGTACGGAATTTCTCACGTTCCCCAGTTTTAATATGAAATGTGTTTGACTGTTTTCGATTTTTTTTAATAAAATCGATAAAAAATTATTAAAAATATTATTATTTATATCGATTTTATTATTATTAAGTGTTTTATTAATTTTGTTAATATATCCGGTAAAATATTACTTAAAACATTATTTTTCTCTCGATTTTATTATTATTAGACACTTTACTAAAAATATTAAAAAATATTAAAAAATAAAATATAAATAATAATATTTTAAATATTTTTTATCAATTTTATTAAAAAATAATAACAAAATCAATAATATTTTTTTTTAACCGTATATAAAAACTGTTCACCAGGCTCAGATCCATCAGACTCGTCTTCTTGGACTTCCCCCCAAGGATGATGACCTTCCTATGGCGACTTAGTCTCTGAAGATCCCGACCTTTGGGTCAACGAAAACTGGGGTTTGCTCCGACCCATTTCAGGTTTTCAACCTCATTCTTCCTTTTCTTTATGATACCCTAATTTCAATTCATCAAAAGGATTGTTCTCCAATTGAAATCTCTCGGGGTTGTTTCCGCCATGGATGGGTCTGAGACATCGGATGGTGGTGGCGATGGAACTGCGGCAACCATTAGATTCGGAGGTATTTGTGAGTGACAAGGGAAAGCTTTGAGAGGTTTCTAGAGAGTACGATGTGGAGAATGGAGGGTGGAGTGGTGGGTTATGTGTTAAAAATGTAATTTCAGTAATTAGTAGTGTGTCAGAGAGAAAAGGAAGAAGAAGAAGAGAGTCAACGGTAGTTTACCTTCCACGTCAGCAAAAAACTTCTTAGATGTGTTACCGCATCCACAAGGATTATGCCCATTTTCAGGGCAGTGAAACCTTTATGGTCAAAATCCCGATTCAAATAGTCATTAATTTAGTAACTCCTAAGGATCAGGAATTGTCATTTTAAACCTTTTTCGGGGATTTCATCCACAAACGCAAAGTTTATGGCTAACTGATATTGCACACTATCATTTAGCTATTGTATTTTTTCTCGTTACGGGTCATATATAGAACTAACTTCAGAATTGGTTACAATATAAAAGATTTTTTAGAAGCACATATTCCTTCGGAATGACGATTGGAGCGTGGGCACAAGGGTCTTTATGACACAATCAATAATTCGATTCATTTTCAATTAGGATTTACTCTAGCTTCTTTAGGGGTTATTACGTCCTTGGTATCTCAACACATGTACTCTTTACTTGCTTATACGTTCATAGCACAAAACTTTACTACTCAAGCTGCATTATATACCCATATCTAATACATCACACGATTCATCATGACATGAGCTTTTGCCCATGGATCTATATTTTTTTATTAGAGATTACAATCTGCAACAAAATGATGATAATGTATTAGCAAGAATGTTATACCTTAAAAAAAGCTATCATATCCCACTTAAGTTGGGCCAACCTCTTTCTAGAATTTCATACTTTGGGACTTTATGTCCATAATGATGTCATGCTTGCTTTTGGGACTTCGGAAAAACAAATCTTGATCGAACCCATATTTGCCCAATTGATCTAATCTACTCATGGTAAAACTTTTATATAGGTTCGATGTACTTTTATCTTCAACGAATGGCCTAGCATTCGAAGCATATGGTTGTCTGGCTGATTAAATATTGTTAATGAAAATAATAATTCACTATTCTTAACAATAGGTCTCGGAGACTCCTTGGTTCATCATGCTATTGCTCTAAGTTTACATACAACTACATTGATCTTAGTAAAAGGCGCTTTCGATGCGCGTGATTCCAAGTTAATGCCGGTTAAAAAGTTAACGGCAGAAACAAAAATAAAAATAAATTAAAGTTTGATGACTGTATTACAAATTTCAAATGTTATGTGACCAAAATATAAACATCCTAAAAGTTTAGGGATTATTTATATATTTTATCCTGAAAATTTAAATAATTTGAATAATTTTTTAAAATAATTTGAGTTGATTAGAAAGCTATATTTGTTTAAAATATTTATTAATTATTGACAGATTATTAATTATTGACAAAGTACACACATTTTACATTCAAATATGATTATTTAAATTCGACACAAATTAAACAATCTCGGTGGTAAAGTAAATATTGTTATTTTTTGAGGTTCCGATTTTAAGCACGAGGTGTTCATATTCATATCAAATAATTAAAAATTATATTTAAATAGATATTATCTTGTAATTATCTCATATTAAAAAATACCTAGAATACACAAATATCATATTTTTAAGAAAAATAAGAGAGCTTCTACAGTTCTACTTACTTGATGGAGTTCCCTTTTTAATACCAAAACAAATCACTAATCCAAATGAATGGCTTGAGGTTTGCTAGCTGCTTTCATCTCAGCAGCAACAAGTCTTTCAAACCTGATAATACGTGCTTCCAGATGCAGCCATGGTGTTTCATTTGCAGCCTTTTCTGGTTCAAATGTATGTCAGTGGAATCCACTCTAAGTCTCATCACCATCTTCCTCGAGCCACCCTACATTTAGGGGACTCTCTCATCCAGCTCTCTTTGCAAGCCTTTAAAAGAATCGCAGCTGGTTTATGTAGTTCGGAAGGGAACTGAGCAATTCTCCATTTCCTCATGGTTCTCATCCAAAGCAGACATGCAGCAAACCAAAGGTTCTTTTAATGGAGATAAAGCTAGCCCCTCTGTTCCTCATGGTTTTCCTTCCAAATGCTCTGTTAGCAAACCACATCAGGTTTACAAGCGCTACACTCATGGACCAAAGAAGATGGGTGGAAATCATGAGAATTCAGCAAGCCTGGATTCTGATGATGAAGATCAAAAGACAATTATCAGAAATGTTTAAATCTTGGGACAAGTGTGACAACTCTTCAGGTCAATGTTCAGTTGCAGATAATGAGCTCCCAAGATGTAAGATGATAACAACACTTGGAGAAGAAAACCCCATGGATGCATCTCGAAGCACGTATTAGCGGGCTGGAAAGATTGGCTGCTGAGAAGAAAACAGCTAGGAAAGCTCAAGTCATTCATTTGGATTAGTCATTGTATTTTTGTAATATCTGATCATCCACTTGAAGATAACTTAATGGAGTAAGTTGATGCTCTATTAGTGGATCAGTTAGCTGATGATTTTCTTAAGCAGATTCATAGTTTGAAAATTTCCATGCTCTTCATGCTACACTTTTAGTGAATCAAGTTGGTTCAACCATGTTATAGCAAGAAAAATAACACCTTCATTGCTCAAAAATAACGTTGCAGTTTTCAAGTTACACAGAAAATTTCAGTCTTTACATTCTCTTCAGTTTCCTAAGAATCCAGAGCTGAATGTTGCAGATTATGTCTCCCGCCGCGATAAACACAAGGCGATCAAATATTCATCCAACCCATACTTTAAATCCCAGATCTACCCTGTTAGCAGAACACAAACTAAATGGAAATTAAGCGATTAGACCTCAACACAGCTTTAAACGACACTGAAAACACAAGAATCTCAATGGCAATGCTTGAAAGCTAATCACCAAAGCTTCAAACATCCTGGCATTTCAATCATCATAAGATGCAAACTAGTAAAGTGACCCATAAAGAATCGCAGAGAATACCAGGCTAAGATCCAAGTACTTCGTCTAAAGATTTTTCCAGGTTTAGAAACACAAGAATCACTTAGAAAATGAAGCCTCATATCAAACAGTTTCAAGCACATCAAGAAAAAAAGAGTGAATCCAAGCTTTAAAAACAGGTAAACAATGATCGGAAATTGAATATCAACAACTTCTACTTAGTACTGGTTAATCATGAGTACGCATCCCTCAAATTCGTTGTTCATCAATGGAGATATCAGTCCACTACTTTTAGTTATTGAAATTGATCTTCACAGGGATTCAAGCCAAATTCCAACAGAATGCAAGAAAAGCTTATTTGAGAACGATAATGGGCAAAGATTGTTGATATTAAAAAACTAAATTTATTGATAAATAAAAAAAAGCCTTTGTTTCCATAATCACATCAACAGTACATTAAAAATGGAAGAAAAGAAACTACTAATGACCACACATTTCTGGAAAAAGAAAGAAAACGAATTAGTTGATGGAAATATAGAATGGTACGGTAAGGTTTTGCCAGTTCAAAAAATTAGGGTTTTCAGGTGCTTCATAGGAGGAGATATAAGTAAATTGTCTAATTTCTCCTCCCTATACTACTAAATTACAGACCTGTTAGGCTGGGCCCAGGTGGATGGAAGTCATTGTTAGCATTTTCTAGCCCAAATAAGCTTCATGATTTGCATTGAAATATAGAAACCAACCATTGAAAAGTTAAGTCTGCAAATATTAGATAAATTAGTCAGAGTTTTACTCAGATTGGGTTATATAAATCTACAATCAACATATATTAATTTTCTTTAATATATGTGTACACATTTCAAGTAGTAAATAATAATAATAATAACTTTTAAATAGACTTAAAATATCATATTATGAATATAAGGCTATAAAAGAGACGAGACAGATGATTAAATATTTTAGATCGATTCAGTCAAAGTTTAGTGAACACTTAAATTGATTCAAACTCGAATTAAATTCTTAACAAACTAAAACGACTTACTTGATGTCTGACTTAAAAAGCTCGCGAGCAGCTAAAAATTAATATATTGAATATGAAAATTTTGCAAGTTTAAACTTTTTTCCAGCTCGAGTCGAGCTTTAATCTTTTCTCAAGTGGAAGTTCACTATATTTCAAGTATGAGTTGAACTTTTAAGTGTTAGTGAATAAGTTCACTTTGTTGCTGTGGTCTACCTGTGATAAGCGAGGATTGTATGCATGAAGGAAGAACTATAAGAACCTTAAAATCTTTGTAAGGTGATATGTAACAGTTTAAGCAAATAAAGTTTGAGCTCCATCGCTTTGGGTTATCATGTACTTAAAAGTTCATGGAAAGTTATGGCCTTGAAGAAAAAAAAAGGAAGCAACAATATTGGGCACACCACACTTCCGCTGCGCCACTCTGATATGTTGGTGAGGCTTCACTCTTTCTTCTAATCAGTTCAAGCAATTCGCCATTGTTGAAGAGAAATAGAAAAGCAAAGAGAATTGAAGTTAGAATAATGTACAAGAAACTGGTGGAACAAGGGAAGAAAATATAGGAAAAGAATGAGGCCTAGATTTGTTGTGTTTTGTATGGTGTTGGAATGAAAGGAGAATTCATTTCCTTCTCCTCTGAAAAGCCTTGTTTCTGCAAGAAGAGAGCCCACCATTGTTGATTCTCGACGGGCTGACTTGTGAAGGAAAAGCAAGCCGAATTTGTGATGGAACTGAAACAGTGAAAAAGGAGACACTTTTACCTTTATTTCTTACTGAACATGATCTGTTGTGGGAAGACGATGAGTTGATTTCATTATGAACTAGAAATATTAATTTAAATGAGAAGACGACCTGGAATCGGATGCCTTCAAACAGCTGCAGCTGCTAGGGTTTGTTTTCGGAAATCAATTTAAATTTGATTACGATTATCGAAATTAATCTCAGTTGCAGCCAACAAATTCTAATTGTAATCGATTGTATATATATATATTTTAAAAATCAGGATCAATATCGAGTATTGGTAGAAAATGTAGCCAAGTTAAGAATCGATCTTATGAGAGAACAACTCGCCACTTTTCGTTCACAACTCGAAGAATTCGCTCGAAAACACAAGGTAAACAAAAGTTGTCTAAAAAATCACGAGTTTCAATGATTTAGCTTTTATTTCTTATAATATCTATCTTTTTTTTTCGCAAAACGATATTCGTAAAAATCCCACTTTCAGGTCACAATTTCACGAGATGTGTGCTAAAGTAGGAGTGGATCCTTTGGCTTCAAATAAGGGGTTTTGGGCTGAGCTTTTAGGGATTGGTGATTTCTATTATGAACTTGGTTGGTATCGAAAATCATCCCTTTATAGAAAGAAAATTAATTGGGGAATTTCCTTTTGTTTTCAAGTTCTTGAATTTTTGTTCTTGGAGTTTAAACGATTGTACCTCATCTTATGTTTGTCTTGTTGTGTATATAACCACTTTTGTTTCAAAGTTGAAATTTATTAAATTATGAATACTCCTCCTATTTTTCATGGAGGATTATGTCAAATCTTACTTCTTGGTAGAGTGCTTACATTGCGGTTTTGATACTTGGCTAGACAGGAGTGCAAATTGTTGAAATTTGCTTGGCAACTAGGCCTCTTAACGGAGGTTTGATCGACCTGCAAGAACTCTGCAAATTGCTTCGTCAGAAATGAAAACATGATCGTGAAGCTGTATCCGAGGATGATTGTTTGCGTGCCATAAGTAAGTTGAAGGTATTGTAGTAGAAAGTTAGTTCATTTTCGTTTTATATTGATTATTGTTGAGTTTTCCAGCAATCGCGCTTTCCCTTTTTCCCTTTTCAACTCTCAGGACGAGAGGGAGAGCCTGAGAAGGCAGATCATTTTTCCTTTGTTGTGAGCTACATTTTTCATTGAAGAGTTGTTGAATTGTATTGTTGCTTGCTGGTCTGACATCCACATGGTCTATAATGGTGTTGTATTATACAACTTAGATTAGTTTATATGTTGTCATTTTTAAATGCATTTACTGCTTTAATTCTCCAGACATTGGGTAGTGGATTTGAGGTGATTTATGCTAGAAAGAAAAAGCTTGTTCGATCTGTTCCAACTGAGTTGAATAAAGATCATAATGCAATTCTGGAGATGGCACAGGTTAGTGATACTTCTATTGTGGTATAACAAGTACCTTATGCAAATAGTTGCTTAGTTGATCCTCTACTTGTTTCTCTCTCAGGCTCAAGGCTATGTGACCGTTGATGAGGTAGAGATACGGCTTTCCTGGACACATGGCATGCCATTGATGCCCTTGATACTTTATTAGACATAAGTTATTGCAAAGACAATCATGTTTATCATCTTACTGAGATATTTATTTTATATATATATGGCTCACAAAATCCCTGTTGGTTGATGCAGGAAGGGCTTGCAATGATGATGATGGTCATAGAGATGGAAGTCGACGTTATTGGTTCCCCTGTGTATCCTCCATCTCCTCATTTGGGGCTGATAATTAACACTATTCTTCCCTTTTCCCCACTCTTTCTCTTTTCTCCTTTTTTCCAAATTCAAGTGCGTTGCAACTTGTTATAGATTGAAGAGAAATAGAGAAGAATTCGAGAGAAATAGAAGAGAATATGAGAGATTTCAGAGAGAAGAAGTTCATTCATTCATTTCTTAACCATTTTCTGTTTACATTGCCATTTATTTACATACACTCATAGTAGAATCTGTTATGCCAGCTGGACGTCTAACCAATTCTGTTATCATAACAGGAATTGGGCTTCTGCTGGGCTTCCTGTGCTCCACATGTATCTACTGGACCATCATTCTGGATCTGTTGGGTAATTGTTTTAATTCCCCCGTGCTCTTCACGTGCTCTGCCCTCAGGTAATTACCTCTCAACTCAATCTTAATCCCTAACCCTTGATTATTCATTTCCCCCAATTCTCCCACTTCTTCTTCGATACTCATCTCTCGTCCTCCATCTTCTCCTTCTTGTCTTCATTCTCCAACCATAAAAATACCCACCCCATCAGACGATCCTTGTCCCCAAAGATCAAACGAAGGAAACTGCCCTCGCAACACTGAGTAATCTTCCCAGGTGTCGTGCATCTCGTCCAGGTTAGTCCATCAAACCAGTAACTGTGTAATTGGTTTATTGTGTCGATTAACAATCCTTCTACCTAATATTTTGCTGGGTTCTACTCAAAATTGACCTTCATCATCAATCGTAGGAGGATCTGTAGAAGTTGTTGCTTCAGGCCCAACATGCTTCTTCAATAAACTTACATGAAAGACTGGGTGCAACCGCGAGGAATCTGGTAAGTCTAGTTTATAGGATACTTCCCCAATTTTGTCAATAATTTTATAAGGCCCATAAAACCTTGCTGCTAATTTCAAATTTTTCCTTAGGGCGATAGAAGTCTGTCGATATGGCTGCAGTTTCAGGTAAACAAAATCCCCAATATGAAATACTCTTTCTGATATGTTTTTATCAGCTTTCTGCTTCATTCTATTACTGGCCTGTTGTAATTGAAATTTCACCAATTGTCTAATGTCTTCCCTGCTTCGCATTAATTTTGCTACTGCATGCAATTGAGTGTCTGTATACCAAACCATTATAGGAGGTTATAGCCATAGAGAGCCTGAAAAGGTATTAGTTTTAAGGCAGTATGGTAGGTAGAATTGTACCACCACTCAGCATGTGGCAGTCATTTAGCCCATTGCTTTGATTGGTAAAAACAAAGCCCTCTTAGGTACTTTTCCAAGCACTGGTTCACCCTCTCTGTTTGTCCATCCGTTTCAGGATGGTAAGCAGTGCTAAATAGGGTCTTAGTCCCTAAAAGCTTCATTAGTTCTCTCCAAAAGAGGCTAGTAAAGGTCTTGTCTCTATCTGAAATGGCCATTTTATGCTGGCCATGAAGCTTATATATGTGATCCAATATAATTTAGCCACTTCAGCTGCTGAGTAAGGGTGTGATAGTGCTAAAAAATGACTATATTTAGTAAACTTGTCAACCACCACTAGAATACAATTCTTCCTTAAAGATGTAGGCAAGCCTTCAACAAAATCCATCGTGATAACTTCCCAAGCTTGCTGAGGAATATGTAATGGTTGTAGCAGTCCTGGTTTAGCAACATGTTTCACCTTAGTTTGTTGACATACTGCACATAGTTTAACATAATTGACCACCATAACTTTAAGTCTAGGCCAATAAAAGTAAGATCTAATTCTCTGATAAGTTGTTTGACTTCCATAATGACCCCCATGAGGTGAGTCATGTAATGTCTGAAGAATCTGTAGTAT